TGAACATAAACAGGTTGCCGATTCGTCAAAGATTATATTCTTGGGGAGTTGCGGATTCTCCTAATTGTTGTCTATGTGCAGCAACATCAGAGACTAGGGAACATATGTTCCTCCGATGCAACTTTTCCACGCAGTTTTGGAGAATGGTGTTCTCCCGGCTTTCTTCTACTCAGCAGCTTTTTACATCTTGGGACGAGCTACTGTCTTGGATCAGAAGGCAAACAAGTCCGGCTCCTACTTTTCTTCGAAAAGTGGTAGCTCAATCGGTTCTATACAACATTTGGAAGCAAAGAAATAATGTTCTTCACAACAACCCAACAATATCTCCGCAAACAAATTTCAAAATCATGGATCGCGAAATCAAGAACACAATCAACTCCCGAAGACAAAAAAGCATTGGAGGGATCTAATGCTCCTTTGGATTAGGTGACCACCAACTTCTCACAAATCTTTCCCGACCTTATTGTAATCTTGTTTTAATTTTTTTTGCCTTGGTTGCTCTATCTTGAAGTTAAACTCTTTTGTAAAACCTAAACTATTTATTTCTAATGATATTTATTTTTTAGAAAAAAKAAAAAAAAAATACTTCCAAATCTTTTGTTTACACTATTAATTTTCACCAATATAAATAAAATGAAAATTAGAAAATCAGCGGAAAATAAAAATATAATAGTTGCTTTCGATATGGTGTTATTAAGCATCATTAGCCATCTTGGCGTACAATTGCACCGTACCTCGAACTCGTCGCCTGTCGGTTGATTTGAAAATAATTTCTTATTATAATCCCAACAACCATTCCTTCGGAATTATTTAGTATCATTCATTTCTAAGCAAAAGTCTTGTAAATTATTGTTTTACATCAATTTTATAAAATATGTATGGTAAGAGTCTTACCGTAAGACGTCATTGAAAGATTTATCCTTTTAGATAGATAGATTGGTACTTTTTTAATATGTGACTAAGATATTTCATTTACGTAAATACTTCTAAAAAAATATTCGTAAAATAAATTTTAGTTTAGATGTCTTGCGCAACAATATCTTCTATATATTAAAGGAGAAGCATTGGATGTCACTTTTGCTTAGGTATCATTCCCTCAATTTTTCTCAGCTTTTTTTAGATAATTAAAATTTCATAATAATTAATTCTACTATCCTACTAGACAAACACTCTTTATGATATAATCTCTATAACCAAAAA